ACCCCTAACTCGAAGGGGTTTTTGAAAATGTACCCGATATGGGGGAAAAAAAAAAAAAAAAAAAAAAAAAAAAAAAAAAAAAAAAAAAAAAAAAAATAGCACAATAATTTGCTTAAAAAGGAGAAGCTCCAGTATAGCTTTGAAAATGTAGGAGCATTTTTAAATGTCAATGTAGAAAAATGCTCAATTTAAACAAAAAGAAAAAAAAAAAAAAAAGTATTTTTCTGTTGTTCAAAATGGAATCTGCAAGTCAGAGATTTACAAAAATAGGGAACCAGCCAAAGAAGCTGAAGGTGATCCATTTCAATATATTTACAACGAATACAATGTAGAGCAAATGGTTAATGTAGTGACTGCTTAATGCTTGTGAGTAACATGATCTGGTAAATTGAGGAATGGGATGCAATCTGTATGCATGGAGGGGACAGATGGGGGCACAGTATTGCTTGGCTGCAAAGAGGGGATGCTGAGAGGCAGCAGTGGTGCTCCTCTCCTCCCTGTTTTCTTTGACTCATTTACCCTGGTGGCTCAGTCCTGGCTCCTCAGTCTGGTCTCCTGCTGATGATAATAAACCTACAGGGGAAAATCAATGGGGAGGAGTGCCTGTTAGTGCTGGAGCAACAACCTAGAACCTGTTCAGATAGTCAAAAAACAAACAGAACAAAACCAGCAGTGAAAAAGCAGAACCAAGGACCAGACCTTTGGGAACCTTTTGAGTTTGTTTCAGATGAGACGAGCCCTGCAATATTAACATCGGGTTGTGTGTAAACCAACCACATACTCACAAAAAAAAAAAAAAGAAACCCAAAGGAGAAGCAAGAGCAAGCAGCAGCTCTTATTGGCTCACCTCTAATTTGACGTATGGATCAGGAATACAGTTTCATACTCCAAAAACCTCAAATCAGAGGAAAACAAAAGAACAGTCCTGACAAAGGAGCATGACATTGGCATGCCAGTTCTACTTCAATCCCCTTAATGACTTCTTGAAGTCAACAGGAGGAGGAAGGGGGAGGGCAAAGTAAGACCAAAAGAACTGGTCAGAGTTGAGGCAGTGTAGTCTGATACTGACCTCTTCCATCAGTCGCTCCAGTTGGTCTCCATTCTCCCACAGGCTACGCTGCACCCAGTTTAGCACCTTCGAGTAGAGTTTGCCGTTGCTGGGCAGGGTCAGGTTGTCTTCAAGCATCACTTCTAACTGTAAAATATGAAAAACTAAGTTTAATGCAAAGTAACAACAGGCTAACAGGTTGCATCTCAGTCACTTCAACTGTGGCCTTTAAATTTATCAGTGGAGAAAAAACACAAATATGAAAAAAAAAATCTATTTTCTTCTAGCATTTGCCAACTAATATTCTAAAACACTCAATGTTTTTATGTGTTTAGTTAGTTTAAACCACTACCTTTAATCGGGGAAGTTTGAGGAAGTCCTCCTGTTCAGATACGTCCAGCAGATGGTCCTGAATGTAAGCATCCACCTTGGCCAAAAGTCTGCCGTCGCCCATGGAGCTGGCAAAGTTTCGGAAAGAGATGGCGTTCTGGGAATCCACTTTAGACAGCAGGTAGTCACCACAGATCTAAGGAGTAACAGGTTTTAAGATTGTAAAAATAATAATAATCAATGTGTGCGATACTTCAAATAATTGGTCATGTTTTAAGAAAATGCATACCTGTTTGACTCGCTCCATCTTGAACCTTTTGGCTGCAGAGTACACATCCTTAACCAGCTCTCTCTCCGCCTTTAATCTTCAGCAACACAAACAGGATGTAAGGTATTTCATGAAGCAAAGAGCTCTGTGTGCATCAGGCGAACTAAGGAGCAAAAACATCTACTCACTGGGCAGTGTAGGCGTAGTTAAGCAAAACCTCCACAGCTTCAGGGTTCAGGTCCTCAAAAGTGACATGAGAGACTCCATGAGTCTCAATATCGCTGTTAAAGATCTCAAACAAGTACGGGCTGCAGCACGCCAGGACAGCGCGGTGAGCCATCAGCTCATGACCACACACCTGGAAAAAATTAACCAGAAGGTGTCAGTACGCTCTAGTGAAATGGAAAAACAAACAAAACGACAACAATTTGTTTTAATGCTCTGCTTTTAAAGGTAAAATAAAGACATTTTGTACCTGCAGTCTAACGTCGCAGAACTGACCACTCTTCCTCAGAGCGTTCATTTTGGCCACGGTGGAATCCAGGAAAGTCTCATCATCAAAGATCAAATAACCGTTTGGAGTCATCTTGGTGAATTTTGATTATATTCCTGAGAACAAAAATGATGCAAGAAGTTCATCATATAAAATAACTGCAGCTAGAAGGCATATTTTCTGCTCAAGGTGCAACATGCTTTCAAGCTGTCCATCTCCATTCATCAATGAATGACATCAACTATTACAAAGGAGGATTAGAATAAGGTGCTTGTAAGGCGCATTGTGTATCATCTATGCTACGCATTAGTCATAGGCTTACCTAATAGACAATAATCCAAATCCAGGAAAACGCCACAGCTGAGCGTAGAACAGAAACAGGCGAAGCAGACCAAGATCTCAGCAGAACCAAGTCTTCTTCACCCAAGGAGAGGGATGGGAAGTCGTCAGAAGAGATGCCAGCCGACTACGAGCTGCGTAACAGGGAGAAGGGGAGCAGCCGCACGGACAAACTATCAGGCTTGAAGCGACTGTAATCAAGTCCTTGAGATCCCGTTGGCTATAGAGTTGTACTTATTCTCTGTTTGTCATACATTATAACCTAAAAGGGAGAAATAACAAAAAAAGGAAAAAAGAAGGAAAGCTTAGTCATTTTTTTCCTGCTAAAGTTGCCTGTTCTTGGCACCAGAGCAATAAAAGCATGAGTCACTTCCATGCAGTTAAAGAAGCAACCCAAGATGGTAGTTAAAATGCATCTCATCTCTGTCCAGATTCACTCCAAGTTCTCCTTCCAAAAACATATTTTTCCAAACACAACAGAGCCGTTAACGCCTCCATGTTGACACAAAAAGATGCACCAAGATCAGAGATTCTTCCCATTCATGAAAATGGATCAAAACTAGGAACTCCCAACCTTTGCTGTCAAGCACATCAGCCAACACCATGTACTGTAGTGCATTTTTGTTTTTAAAAAATTGCTTTGATGTACAGATGAGGATTCTTCACTTTCCATTGGATTCAAATAATGGAAAGTTTTAAGTTATCTGCAGCACATATTTTAACGTTTACCAAATTCAGCTAGGAAACTTGATTAAAAAAAATAAAAATCCTGTGTAGCTGTGTCTATTTGCTTCACACTCCTACCTTAAATCTCTACATCAGCGGTCAACATCCCACCTGTCCAGGAAGAATGTCTTATTTCAACTCATGTCGTCACTCTGAATTGAGACCTCTCAAATAGTGACAAGCCTTAGGAGCTGGCTCCTCCTAAAATGGGAGTCCCTTCAGCCCCCCCTTTCCCCCGGCCAATAAGGAAAATGGTGGGGTGTGTGTGATATTCCACACCCACTGAGAAGTTGGCGATAAGCTGGATTTGTTCAGAAATGCAGAAAAAGTTCACAACACCTAAAGCAAAACACTAAAAACAGTCAGAAAGAGTTCATCTGCACTTCAGGAATTCAAATCTGACTTTGTGCTCTGCAGTGTTGCATCTAAAAGAAATCCGAGGCTTCCCCCCAATAAGAAGGCCTAATCTTAGTCGTACCAACAAGACCTTAATTCTAGAAATTAACACCATTCTAATCCGATGAGTGACCATGTCTACCAACTGCATATTGCATTTTATTGGACAAAATCTGCCAAACATTTTACTGTCACCCAACAGTGAAAAAAATGGACAAGAAAAACGTGAACAACCACATCGTCAGCCATTAAATCTAAACAAACCGTGAGGTTTTCCTGAAACTATTTAGTTATACAACAGGAATATATGATTCATACTAATTTTAAAACAATTGCTAATGTAATATAATTATTGCTACAACTGATGTCATGTATAGTAATAGTTGATTTAAAGTTTATATATATATATATATATATATATATATATATAAAATCCTCCATTGCATTTTTAACATTTTTTTTCATGCACTCACACATGAAATATTTAATAGTTTTCTGCTTTTCCAAAAACACTAAGAATTATTCCTTACCCTTTAAGACTTCCTCTACAGCCCTTTGCTGGCCGAGTTACACAATGTCCTTCCAAGAAGAGAAGCAACATGCTCTCTATAAGCTGCTTAATAACCACCATCACACTGACCCTCTGATGTCTTGAACATAAAAACCCCATAGGAATACCATAAAAACATTTACAAAAAAATAAATAGTTTTTATGGCATATATTCACGGAAGAGAAAAAAAAAACAAAAAAAACAAGGAAGTGCAACACGCAGGCTAGTCTTGAATAATTTATGTGTTCGGAGAAATCCCTGTATATAATTAACATCTGTGTAAGAAAAGGTGCAAAGGAAATAAATGAATAATCCAAGACAGTTTTTCAGTAACCTGCTAAACTCATGACCATGTCGCCCAGCGTAGGTCTAATTTTATAAAGGCATAAGAAGAAATTCCAACTTAAACCAAATAGGCAAAATATAATAAGTAACTACCCATGTAGCTTGATAGAGACTGCAAAACAAACAGACCAATATTTCCGTTACACAAAGAAATATTTGATCAGTAACAGAAAAACTTCTTAAGTTTCCTGTAAAGGTCAATAAATTAATTGTGTAACAATTTAAGAGTAAATCAGAGCTTTTCCCACCCAAAGATGTTAAGTTATTTAATTTGCTCACTTTATACTTTAAACAGTGCAAAAAAGAAAAAAATTAACTGTGCATTTTTATCCATCTTGCAGAAAAAAAAAATCGGTAGAGCTAAAAATCTGAATCAGCAGATTACACACTCTAATCGGAGATCAGCTACAAAACATCTGATTGGCGCGTCTTTAGTTATTCCAGGAAAAGGCAGAAGCCATGGAGAATGCTACATATAGTCTTTTATATTGCAGCACACTGCATGCATTCATTCGGTCCGATTGTGCATGGATGGACCATTGACCTACTTCCAAGCTGTTATGCAACATCTGGCAGAAGATTCCTGGTGGAGGCTCAAGTGTTCTACTCCTCCACATTGCTAGGTCCACCACAATAACTCATACAGTCTTGTTTTGAATTCACTGGAAGGAGCCCTGGCTGCCATGCCACACCCCCAACGCTCTAGATGGTTCTTTTAACACGTAGCTTCCACTTCAGTCACAGTAATAGCCATTTTACTCTGAAAGCTTTGCTAATTGAAAGATAATGCCTAAGTAAGTAATGTGATTGTTGATTACAACCACCGAGTGCACACAAGATTCATAAGCAGAACTACAGTGATGAGAGGAAAAATCCATTGAGGGGAAAAAAGAACAGAACAAGCAGATGGAAAAAGAAGAAAAAAAAACAACAGCAAATCAGTGCTATAAAGAGCGAGGCTCTGTTGACCGGTTTGCTACAGACGGGAGGTCTGATTGTATTTTCCCTCTCTCCAATTATTCCATCTGATTAAACAAGCACAAAAGTGCAGGTCTGACGCTGAACAATCGATGCTTGTTAGACACTCCCCCTGGTGGCGAAGTGGAGTATTGGGGAATATTCCCCCCACATTCACGGAGTGGAAATTTACCAGTTGAATTTTAACATAAACTATCTATATGTAACGACGACTGTAAACAGGACAGGCACTTTACGTGTTTTAAAAATAAATTCAGTGTACCAGACTGAAATTTTATAAGATTTGTGGAATACTAAAAATATGAAACGAGACATGTGACGGAAACACCCCGCCCCCCACCCTATACAAAAAACAAAAAAACAAAAACAATACAACTTTCAACACAGCGCTTATTATTGTAATGATTTAATTAATTTATTTTATCTACTGTGAATCAGTTTAGGAGATTAAGTTCATAGACATTTTTTTATCATCCATCAATTCGGAATAACCACGTGGTTTTAATTTTCAAAACCATTAATAGCAGAATACCACTGCATTAGGCGGTGATTTACAAATATAAAATTTAAGAGCTGATGAAAGGAACTGTGCGCACAATTTTTATGACTAAGAAGCACAAAAAGAAAGAAAAAAATGACAATATGGCACTAAAAGCACCATCCCCCCCCTGAGGGCACGGTGTCTCATGTTCTTCTGTTAGAGGCAACGTACAGACAGCCTGTAACAGCAGGGCCCTGATGGATGGCTGCGAGCCAGAAGTCATTTACTGTGCTCGCCATCGGAATCTGGGTCAGAAACGGGGAGCCCCCTTAAGTATCCGATTAGGCTGACTCGACTTTGGCACACATTCCAAACGTAGACGATTCTAATAATTGTACGAACGAGCCAACTGAAGAAAGGGGCAGCTAGCAACCAAAAGGGATGAGGTCCTGAAGCAAAGCAGATGTTAGCTCTCCAACTGCAAAACCTGCTGCTTACTTACAGCTTAGGATGGGGGAGCCGTGTGACAGCCACGGCGGCGTGAGTCATTAAATTAAACTATCAGCAGCGAATCTTAGCGGACTGTTCGTGTGTTCAGTCATTAAAGCGGAAAGAGGCGGTTTGTGCGACATTTCCGCGCCTCTTTAACATTCGCGCTATTTAGCTTCCTTTGTTACATCTCAACCAGGGACTATAAACGAACAATCACCACAAACTCAATAGCTAATCTGTAAGAAGACAAAGGTTTAACGGTTCTCAACGTGCTAACCCTTAACGACTTAACAGACAAATAACGTTCGTTCACAAATTTGAAAGAGGAAAAGGAGAAACACCTTACCTGAGGCGTTTGACAACAAGCGATATTAGGCATATTTAATGCAAATTCAGAGTTTGTTGGTTCGGTTTAAGGAGGAGACGCAACGCGACTTCACTCAAAGCTTGTAGCGTGATTAACAGATGTCTATTCTGTCACTGCGGAACAAGTACGTCCACTCAGTCCAGGATGGAATGGCTGGTGAGGAGAATGCGTGCCACAGAAAAATGACCTACGCTGCTTGCAACGTCATCAGTAGGCGGTGCTACAAGCTTTTTAACGCCCAAGTCAGTATGGAAGGCTATTAAGACATTTAATCAATTCGCGTGCGTATTAGAAATATATCACCACTTAAAATTGGTAGCAGAAAGCTGTTTACAGATAATTGGGGGAAAGTGGTCTAATGGTTCAGAGCAAGATCAATAGCGTTAGATAATGAATTCATTTAGACTTAAATTAAATGCACTGCGGGTATCAAATTTAAAGCGTTTCAGGTTTCATTAAATAGCAATCTTGCTTGCCGTAAAAACGGGAAGATCTGTAGGAAAGACCATGTTAGTGGTTTGACCGACGTGGACCATTTACTAAAGGGCTCTTAGGAGGTATACGTTTGATGTCCAGAATTTTTTAAACGAAGAAATACATTCTACATAAGAAAGAATCAACAGAGCCGAAATGATATGAAAATGATCCCTAATCACATTACATAGTAATCACAAAACACCACAAGAACAAAACAATCACTGCTGAAAATCCTCAACCTCAATATGACCAAGAATTTAAAATAAGCAGTTTGTAATATGAAATTAACAATAATAATAATAATAATAATAATAATAATAATAATAATAATAATAATAATAAAATAAATAGCGTGAAATTGACTTCTTGTCACATTTTGCATTAATAACTATTCCATTCAGACGTGGTACTATTTAAACCCTACTGCAAAATCCAGAGTAGACACGCCAAACGCCTGGTCAATGAAAGGATCACATTTGTTTCACTCTTACTGTTTTACTCCCCATTTGCCTTAATGTGCAAGCTCTGACTCATGGCATCTAACTGAACAATCACCCTTGCATGGGTCATCTCATGTCCATTAAGAGGGAACATCCGGGCCAAATCTTCCCTGCAGAAGCACACACGTCACTGGACTCATTCATATGCCTTGACTGAAAAGAGCTTAGTCCAACCAAAGCTCGTCATTAATTAGATTAGACAGCAAGGCCTCCTGTTATAATAAAGGTGTCAGTCAGAGTTTCAAAGACTAATTGTGATGTTTCACACCTTTATGTATACCCACGGAAGAGCAGAATGTGAAAGAAGTAAGTGATTGTCTTTACTAAAGCAGTTTATATGCTCAAATTTCATTTTATAAGCTTTAGTGTGTAGATTATTCTAACACATGTCTCCATTCATGAAATAATGACAAAAACTGACTGGTTGCCAAGGAGGACATACATCTAATTTCACCTTTTATGAGTGAAAACCAGGTCCTTCTATGCACAAACATCTCAGAGGACCAATCACTACAAAGGTTACAATACATTTTGTTGATTTTATCTAAACTATTTGAACTAATCTAGTAAATGTCCACTTCCAGATAGCTCTGAGTAGCTTTCCTTAGATTACAAAACACACTGTGCTGTAAGTACAACCACAAATCCAAGCCTTTCTCAGGACACCATTTGGTGCTCAATGAAAGGTTTGTCTTTACAAATGGTCTTTGGGGTCTTTTACTATCAGCATTCCCCTGATGGTCTGCAGAGATGAGTAAGATCCCTTGGCAGGCACTCAGGCTATTTTCTCAACAAAGTGGCCAGATACTCAGACACAATCCTTGCAATTACCGTTTATGGAGTACAGCCAACACAGTCTGCTGTTTTCTTTAGTTCTGTACTGATTTGGCTTACAAATAGAAGTAGTAAAAGGGATAGTGACTTTCCCATACGTCATAGGAAAGAAGCTGAGTTGTTTTTATTAGTCATTGTAAAATGCAAAAGTCTGTAAGGAATTTTGCACAATAATTACAGAGATGTGAAAAACACAAATGATAAAGTGAATGATTAAATCTGACAAAAAGAAGAAAAAAGAAAAAAATAAATAGATTGAAGTTTGTAATTGTAAAGTGACATATTGGGAAAAAGTTCAAGACGCACGAGTTGTTTCGCAAGGCATTGCATTTCATGCATCAACACATAAATCGAAAAGAAGGACACATGTTTGGTCATGTTTCTCTGTGAATGATCAGTTCTTCACAAAAAAATTCCCATTTTCTGCATCCAGGCTGCATTTTAGTAGTATGCTTGACCTACTCTAGAAACCAACACAAATATAGGTACAGAAATAGTCAACAAAAATCTACACACACCCATTTAAATCTACAGCTCTCTGAAATCAATGAAATATAATAAATCACAGTTGCTCCTGGACGTGTCTTGATCTTCATGCCTTTAAAGCTTAGAATGGCTCTAAAACCTAAAGCGAGTGTGGTGTAAGTGTTTGGCCTCCATCTTTTCGCATGCAAAAACATCACATCTTTTGTTTTGCTGAGTCATCTTACGGGCTCTAGCGCCCCTCATTCTTTATAGAGTTGCTCAGTGAAGCTGCAGAAATGTTTCCTGACAAGGACACTATGAATATTTTAGGAATCCAGGCACATGGCCACAGCTGCTGAGAAAAGGAGGCTATATACAAGATGGATGTTAAAGGACATGAATCTGCAAACACAAAGATTTTTATACCCTACTTTTCTCTAAATTCCCTGTGCCATTTTGGTAGTCTCTTAAAACTGTCATGGGCCTTGTAAAGGTATTTAAATGTTTAATTTCAGTGTTTACCACTTTGCCACTATGTACCACATAATCTTATTACCAAGCCATAGCAGACACAAACCATAAAATTGACATCACCAAACATCCGAGAGACTCAGTGAAAGCTCAATGGCAAGATTTGTTTTCAGGCATGTTGAGGCTTGTTTTTATAGCACCTGGTGTGATCTGGGATGTCACACAATCTTCAGGTCTAGAATCATCAGACCTCACTGAAGGATTAAGATATTTTCCAAAGAAGTCTACCATGAAAGGGTCGCTCGTGCTACCATGATTTTTTTTATCATTTCACATATCTCTTCTGTTGTCATTTCCTTTAAAAAGACTTAGTATACAGCAACTAAAACAAATATGCTGTAAAAAAAAAAAAAAAACTTATTTTGTATTGCTGAAGTCTCACTGCAATGTAAATAAAGTGCTTGTTAAAATTACAGGCAGTGTAGCTTTAACTGCAAATACAAATGGACCAATAATGTGGAATTACAATGGCTATTGGTAATTTCACATATGGAAAACCATGTACTTTTACGGTTATTGTTCTTTTTAGACCAGACTTATTTTAGATACAAAATCGGAGCTAGCTACGAATGCTTTTACTCGACCATAGGGATATGTTTTGCACAGTGTTATTTTCCTGCCATTTTGTATGTGGTGTTAGGAAAATAAATTGAAAATATGCTAGTTTTAAAACTTAACCACATGTACAACATTATATAAAATTAACAGCGTTTTAAAATAAGAACATTTGGTTCTAAATTGTCTCCATGGTCCAGTGGGCATCTCATTTGTAGAATGTTTCTATTAACTATAACACAACAAGTTGAATTAAAATAGTTTAGTTTTAGTTTTCTATCATTTAAAACACAATTCTTAACCTCTCTGTGGACTGAGCAGGCATTCACAGGGTGTCGTGGTTGTTTGTGTGAGTTTAACCTTTTGACCTTCTTGATCAGCTGGTGTAAAACTGAATGCAACATAGAATATCTGTAAAACACATAATCTAATTTGTGATCTCTCCTAATTGTTAACATGTCTTTATTGAAATAGCCTAATTATAGTTTTCAGATTAATAACTTATTCTGCCCTATTGACCTTTATGTTACCTGTAGTTACAGCAGATTGATTGCTAAGATCTTTTGAACTGCCCTTTGTCTGTGTGGGAAACAATCAGGAGAAGTTCCAGCTTCACACTGATCTGTGAAAAGCCATAAAACAGCATGAGTTCAGGCCAGTGGAGGAGAAGCTCTGCTTCCACTTTGCTTAGATAAAGGTGACAACTGGTGTTTGATCTTGAAAACAAATTGCAGGGAGTTTCTAACTTTTAAGAGGGTCCGAGACAGCTCCTGGTTGGATGAGCAAAGATACGCCTTATTCGAATAAGTTAAAGAGAAGGATACGCCCTTACTATAAAAATTTGTGCATGTGAGGAACAAACCAGATTTGCTTTTGCAACTCTCCAAAGATGTCTTTGCCTTCCTTTCTTCCTTTCTTTCTTTCTTTCTTTCTTTCTTTCTTTCTTTCTTTCTTTCTTTCTTTCTTTCTTTCTTTCTTTCTTTCTTTCTTTCTTCTTCTTTTCTATTTGTCTCAGGTAAATTAATGTCTGTTTTAGTGTGTTTGAAGTGTCTGTGTTGTCAATGCGATTTTATATTTTTAAATGTTAGAATAAACTCTGAAAATGTATGACGTGGAGCATTGACTGTCATCTCTATGTGACTTTTGTTTCTACGCATGGAATCATTGGATCCGGGAGC